GGAGAGTCAGGAGCTCATTGCCTGCGTGGCCCGCTGCAAAGGGCACTGGACCTGCCATCAGATCTGGGGTAGAGGCCAGGCTGCTTGACTTTTCTCTGTGGCTTTAGGCGGCTCAGTCCGCCACTCTGAGCCACTGAGCACCATTCTGCACTTCACTGGGCTGCTTTGAGATGCCAACATGGTGCTGAATATGTAAGGGCCTGGTGCTTTCACAGGTACTCGGCCCAAGTTTGCCAGATTTCAGTCGGCTGTACTGATGCTCGCCACCGAGGGCTTTACTGCAGGTCTTCCCACTGGCTCAAGGCAAATACTCATCAGCTCTTTGGTGGTAAGGCTTGTAGTGCAAACGCAGCGTTGTTTCCAGATTGTAAGGCGCCCCATACCCTTGCTGAGGTGAAGTCACCAAGTTACCTCTTCTCATGTCTGCAGAATGGCACATAGTGTGACTGGTGGCCTAGCTGTCCTGCGTGGTGGTCACTGCAGCGGGTCTGGCGGCCGAGGGCCACCTAGGCCAAAGTAGGATTCCAGTGCACCACTTGAGTATCAGGATTTTAAATACTTAGTGTTAGCTGAATGAGTTCAAGTATTCTTTTTGAAATGTTGATTTTTCTCCCATCTCGATTAACTTGATTTAGTTAATTTAACCAACAGCAGAAATGACTTCATGCAACAGGATGCAAATCCTCCCAAGACATTAGCATGACCAGTGGCCAAAAGGCACCCTCAGGAGCCCGCCCTCCCCTCCTCGTGACACAGACGTGGAAGTCTGACTGCCTTTTGCACTTTAAGCAACAGGAAGGCCCTGAGGAGGCCTGGGTTTTCCTTCAGACTATACATCTGATCCACAGGACAAGAGGTAAAGTATTTCCAGCCATTTTCCCACAAGAACCTCCCTCTGGGGAAAGATGCTTCAGCGGACCTCAGGCATTTGGGGGTGTGAGGACGCATCCAAGAACATGAGGAGGTCACCCCAGAGCAGTGTCCCACCGGCAGAACTGGCCTTTCACTGTGCACTGTGACCCGAGGACTTTTTAGGTCGGATGTTCTCCTTCCTCCCGTGGGGGAAACAGTCGCCTCCATCGTGGAAGTTCCAACTCACACCGCGGGACGGTCACGAGCCGGGGGGCACGGGTCCGGTGTGATTTGTCAGCCTTCTTCCTTGTACTCAAAGGAATTTTTAAATAAGGGAAATCTACATTTTTAACCCTTTGCAACCCTTGTAGGATGACATATAAGACCTTATCAGGTGGAAACTGAGCCCATCATTTAGGAGAGGCAGTGGGACGACCCCCCTGAGGGGGTCTGTGCAGGGTCCTCTGGAGGGGAGTGGGCAGAGTTCAAGGCTGGAAGCACCCCTCACAGCTCCGTCCGTGGTTCTACACGACGGGCCCCAGTCCGTCCTCATTCCCTCCCCGTTCAGGGGACGCACAGACTGAACTGAAAAGGGCCCAAGCAGCAAAGTAAGCCCTGTGTTCCATAGGGGACGGTGACCACATTTCCTGGCAAGACAGGTACACCCATACATTCAAATTCAGACTCCATCTCTTGAGTAAATCATTTAACCTCTGGAGCCCCAGTTTCCTCATCTGGAAATGAAGACTCACAGCCTTTCCTTAACCATCTCTTAGCGTTTTCACAAAGTCTTCCCAGGCTGGCTCCGGAAACCCCTGGCAGCCGGAGCTCCTGGCTGGTCCCGCTGCCCAGAGCAGGTAGCTGGGAGGGGCGTGGACGCTTGTTCTGAGTCGACGGAACCCAGCAAGCTAACGTGCCATACGTGGCATCGGTCTCCACCAGCCAACTGGTGTCGATGTTTCATCACCACCACCCCTAGTCCACCAAAAAAAATGAAACAGCTTATTGCCAAATACAGGCTGTCCTTTAGGTGGGAGCCTCTCCCCAAGTGCTACGTCTGCTGACAGTTGCCCACATACATTTCAAGCAAGTTCTGCCGGACCTCGAGGCTGCTCACAGGAACTATGGACAGTCTTATGTCCCATCCAGAATTGGTAATCTGGACCCAGAGACCTTTAAATGCTCCCATGACCTAAACTTAGACTGTATTTTTGGTTCCGTGCTTCCTTGGAAACCCATTTAGGGGACTGGCTGGCTCACCTAGATTCTTCACACCTGCCACGGATCATCAGTCGTTTAGGATCTGCCTGCACCCACACTTCGCTAGGAATTGCGAGGGAAATGCAGGATGTTTCCAGATCACTTTCTCATTTGCTAGGCAAGAGCTGAAAGGTGTTTTGGGGAAGCACAAGCGCTCCAGGACTTGCTGGTGCACTTGGGTCCCAAGCGGAGGACTGAGGCCCTGCCCCGTGCCAGAGGGCCACTCTCTGCCACGCTGTGTCATCTGCTGCCACACTCCACTCAGCAGTCCCTGGAGGGCCCCCCGCTGTGGGAGGGAAGGAGGGAGGCAGTTGGAGACGTTTTTAAAAAGTTTTACAATAAAAGGATAAATGAGCTTAAAGTGATCCTATTCCACATGGGCGGCAATGACTACCTGCTGTCACCAGGAAACAGATGTGACCGATAAAACAATTCAATACTCTTGTGGATCCGTCATCAATAAAGTTAACACCCAAAAAGCAAACAAAAGGGTTCAAAGTAGAACTGGATCGTTCCCCAGGTCTGCCAATAATTAAATCACTGAACTACACACAAGCATATTTTCACATGCAGATTAAAGAGGATTGGCTGGGCAACTTGCTTAGCTGGGTTGGGGGGGAGCAACAGCTGCTGCTTGTGACACCCCCATCAGCATGGGTGGCAGCGGGACTGGGGGTGGGGAAAGACGGTGAGTAGACAGACCGTCATTATTTCCAAGGGAAGGATGAAATTTCTACCCAGATGGAACAGGGAATGGATGGTAATATTATTCATTACCACAGTTTAGCATTAAGTGTGCAACACCTACTCTAATTTATTGATGTACTGCTTAAGACGGGTGTTAACCTGTTTGTCTTGTATTATAATTGAATTCAGTCTCCAGGCTACAGAAATTTGAGAAGTTCATCCTTTCTCAATCAATATGCTCCCCTTCAGTGACCCATTTCAAGACAGCTTCATAAAAAATAATGTATTTTGTTTTAATAAATTTAAACACTATGACAGCTGCTCAATTTTTATTGGTTGTTTTTTTTCCCTTCACATGTCTCTTTGCTGTTGAGGGAAGCCAACCACACAATCAATAGTAATTGATTAATCAGCATCCCTCTGAACAAAGGTGCTAATCAGTTTTTGATTAGTTCATCAACCCAGATGCAAAGGCAGTCCAGTCTCAGCCTGGTAGATAATCGGTGTCTACTTGACTTATGGCTCCTGACAACGCAGGCCTGCCATGCTCCTGGGGGGGGCGCGGGCAAGGGGGACGGCGCCATTACTGCGGTGACCCACTGTTGTGAGCACAGACAGCGGCTGGTCGACCGCTGACTCGGGGGTGGGCTGATGGGGCTCCAGGAAGGCTGTGGGGTGCAGAGCACTCCTGGAGTGACGCGCCGGGGGCAGGGGGTTGGCTGGTTTGGTGTCGTCTTCCTGAAGGGAAGAGTCACTTCTGCATACCTGACGATCCTTGTCTGGCTCACCTGGCAAGAGGAATCAGGGCCAAAGACAGCTCGGCGGCTCAGGCCCCTTGAGAAGATCCAAGTGCCAGGGCCGCTGTCAGGGCTGTGCCACTTATGGCAGCATCGGAAGTGAGGGCAGGCTGCCTGCACCCAGCATTCCAGCCACGCAGGGGACTTACCTACTCATGTTAAAAGGAAAGCAGGCTAATGTTTTTGCATCGTCTCCAAATACTCCACATGTAGGAGGCAAAAATGAAACATGACTTTGATGAGCCGGCTCTCTCTCTAATCCTCTATTTATCTAAATTTGCTGGGACCTGGAATTCATTCATTCATCCTACAAGTACTGACAGAGCACCCACTACACGACAGGCACATAGCAGTGGACAAAACCCCTATGGCCTCAGGGGGCTTCCACTCTGTGGGCAAATTCAACAGCTAAGCTCAAACTGGGACATGCCACCTAACAGAAAAATAAAGGCCATGAATCTGCTGCACTTGCAGACGCGGTGGAGGTGGTCCATCCTCTCACTGGGTCGGACCTGTGCTGAAGGGTGGCACCTCAACAGCCAGCTGCTCGAGGGAGCTGCCCTGACCTCTCTTCACGAAGGGCCACGGGGAGCCCCTCTTTCCAGCAGGAAGGGTCCCCAGTCCAATCCTTTGCTCTCTCTGTCACGAGGAGGAGGAAGGGGCCTTCCTCACTGATTCATTAAGTGACTGAGGAAAATGTTGAAGAAACTGTAGCTGGTTGGCGGTGAAGTCCCAAAACATCCGGGGAGCTCATATAATTGTTTAGCTTTGACCATTTTCCATCTCCACCCCCTCCTTTTTAGGATATGCTTCTTATTCTGGATTAGTAACACCTAAATCCTGGAATCAAGCATGAAACCTACTTTTGCAAGAGCTCAATGTGCTGTGGAAAAGGTCTGAGGTGGCTGATCAGTTTACATCACGGTGTGACAGAACAATTACCCCCCTTCCCCCGGCCCCTCCCAGCCCCCTGCTTCTCAGACAACTGTGGCATGGCTTTTCTAGTCTATTCCACAGAGGTAGATGGTCAACCAAAGCATTTTCCTTAAATAAAGATCTTGTCTCATATTCCAACACCCTTAAGATGCTTTATAATGCAAGAAAATTTCTCTGGAACCATTATGTATTTAGAACATAAAAATTCTTTAAAGCCACTGAACACAGAGTGGCTTTAGTATGACCCCAGAGGTGACCTGTCCTCCCCTGCACTGACTGTACCAGCCCCAATTGGAACATACGTGCCGCTACCGCGCGGCAGAGAGGCCAGCAGGGAGGAAGAAGCGTTCATGACATTTTGTTTTTCTGCTAATTGATGGCTCAGCAAACCGAATGGCCATCTTGTCCAAGCGGACGGAGCGCCCCCAGGCTGGACACTGCGTGCCTTACCTAGTAACTAGCCCTTACCTGAGAGGTCCTCACTGTCCAGTTCTTCTGCGGAATTGGGCAACTGAGTAAGGCCTTACAAGTAAAAACAGATCGTTTTTCTTTTCATTCCTCAAGGGACATAAACAAAACACTTAAGAACTGAGGATGAATTTCTTATAAAACATGAGCCAAATCTCTTGCTATCTCTCTCTTTGGAGAGCTTGAATGTATTAATCTGTAAGTACATTTCTCCAATCATTTAGTTTTGTTATTGATACACAATCGAGACAGAAAGATTCCTCAGTCTCCACTTTGAAAGCACATGAAACATGAAGGTGACTGTTAAAATCACTCACTCATAACAACATGCAGAAGGAAAATAAAGCCCGAGTGTTAGCTGTCAGCGCTCTGATTTCTCTCTTGATTGCAAATGTGTTCAGACCTTACATACTGATGTATGTAAGCTTTAGGTTGTGTTTACTATAGAACTGAAATCCTTGGCCGATACTGACAAATACAGTCCATCGTCAATTTGTGTTTGTCTTGGACCACTTATTTCAAAATGGCAACTATAAATTGCAGGCTTTTCATCAGAAAATCTGATTGACAAAATGAATCGTTAAAAAAGAGAATTTCAAAAACAGAGGTATTCCTGAAAAATAAAACCCTCAAAGCTGAAAAAGCAGTTAGGTCAGGAGATACTTAGCAGGGACTCGCGCTGCCTGTCCAGCCCGTGGCCGCGGGCCAGCTGCAGGCTCTCTGCTGGCTCTGGCTGGAGTGGCGAGGTGCGGTGGGAAGGGCGTGAAGAGTGGGAGGCTCAGCTGGGACACGGCTGTCATCTCCTCCTGCCCTATTTACAGGCTACTCTTCAGGGATGTTTATCAACCACCACAAAGGCTGGGCAACCAAGGAGGTCTCCACCCGTTCTGCTTGAAGTCCTGTCCGATGGCACCAGGACCTCTTAAGCACACAGCAATTGCTAAATTTTTTGTGCACCCATTACACTGCAAGGTCTTTGGAGAGAGGGGCGTGTCTTGGTTATTTTTCCATCTTGCCCTGTGTCTCATCGCCAAGCACAAAGCACGCTCTCAGGAAGCAGGTACTGAATTAAGGGTTTGGGAGTAATGCTCAGTGAACTACCAACCGGAGCGTAGTATCAGCCAAAAGAAATGGTCTGGAGACAAGCAGTGTCAGCTGACAGCATGGCTGAAAAGGACCCAAATTAACAGGCACAGTCATACAGAAATGGCCAGTAAAAGCTTGGGTTTTGTAAGTTGTTTTATAAAGAAGCCAAATGATTATTGATAGCTCAGTAGGTGCGGTGAAAGGAGGCCATCACATGAGCTCTTGAGGAAGAAATACCATTACCACCAACATTCAAGGGCAGGTGTCAGTTCTAAACGGGTGGCTTTAAGTCCACAAATGTCCCCAAACTGTGGATCCAGGCAAAGAAAGGCAGAGCAGTGAGCAAGGCAGTAAGTCACAGAGGCAGAGGGGTAGAGAGGCGCCCATTTGTTGCAGAATCGGATTGGTTCAAAGTGTTCCTGTTTCTAATTGGCTTTATCCATTGTATAAAGATTAATGAATACAATTATTTGAATAATTGTTATAAATTGGCAACATAAAGTACTTCTCTGTAGTTAATTATGAATTTGCAGTTTCAGAAAGCTAATCCTTCACTTGTCCTGGCCCAGAGAATATCAAAGCATTCTACATACGTGCGTGGCGCCCACTGAGTCCTATGAAACAAGGATGTTTCTTTCATGTAGGCAGCTTTCCTGCTGAACGCTTGTTTCCCTCTGGGTGGGGGCATTAGAAAGCTAATTTTAAAAAGTTAAGACAAACACATTCATGAAGTATCACAGATATGCAAAGTTTCCCATTAAAAAGCAACAGACAGTTGGTATACACCTCATTAATGACGAAACTGTCATTTTTAATGCATAAACTTCAAACTACACCAAATCATCTGGAATCTGCTGCTCAGATTATATCCAAAAGCAGGAAGCCATTTAGGTCAGCGGCATTAATTCGTTTCTGCACTACTGTCGTGTTTTATGAATGTGTAGTGCTCCGCCACGGCTGGATAATTTCTGAATGAACAGCATTCGCAGGAGCTTCCTTGAAGCCCCGAGTGCGCAACGTGAGCACAGCAAAACCTGCCTCCGAAGGTGCCTGGTCTTAGGTCGTTTTCTTTCATGTTAAGAATTACATACCTCTCCTTTTCTCAAAGAAAAAAAAAGATGCATTTTATGAAGCAGAGAATATTCTTGAAATGGGAACTTCATGATTGAACAACAGCTGGGAAATTACTTCCTGGTTTTTCTCTTTAAACTTTCACATCATCTGTTAAAGTCCTTTCTTGTCATTCCTAATTAAAATGTATTCAACAAATTTCTTTAAACTTTGTTAAACAAATGAAAGCTTACTTTTGGTCCATATGGGATTTTTCTGGGCAATTAATAAAATCCTAAGGTGCAAACACAGTAATTTCACGTATGCACTGTGGTGGCCTTTTTGCGCAGACATGCGCGGCTCTGCATGACGCTGTAAGGGGCTGCCTGTCCCCTGGGCTGCCCCAGACAATGCTCCCACAGGTGTCACTCTCCCTTTACACAGACGTCACTGGCTTCTAGGTGTGATATGGTGCGGCAATTTAAAACCAGGTCAAGGAAAACCTCAAAAATTAGAAACAGTAAGACATCCTGGAGATACTTAAATAAATTCAAGGTCAAGTAAAATGTAAATGTTCCTGTTTTTCAGTTCATCAGGGTTTCATTTTTTTCAGAAAAATTTTAAAAAGGGTGATCAAATAAAACCTCTAGGGAAGAAAAATGTAGCCCATGGCCCTGGTACCATTCCCATTAGGAAAAAGGAGGTGATGGGCTCTCTCTTACCTAAGTGGCATACATCTCTGGTCGCTGGCCATGCTACGGAAACTGTTCCATCACCAGCCATGAGTTCAGGCGACCCTGGTAGTTTTAATCTAAAAGCTCAGCCATCCTGTTCTTCCTGCTTTGTCAGCTTTTGTGGGGAGTTTTCCCTTCTTCCCATTAGCAGAAATTTGGTTCAGGCCGTTAAACAGTAGCACATTGTTTCCAAGCTGCATATCAAGGCTGAAACACAATCTTCAGGTCCTGCAGCCATTCGTAACCCTCTTTAGCGTTGTTCTTGAGTAGAACACACAATGTCTGCAGAGTCCCTTGACTGAATGACAGCCTTTGAATGCCACTGTCGTGTACGCGTACAGAGGTGTGCACAGAGGTACAGACACAGATGGCGGACATAGAGGTTGTAATAATGCGCACTGCGGGCTACTCTTCTTTAAATTGGGCTTTCGAATTTCCCCACAGGGGATGGAACGTCAGGTAAGCATCTTGCGCTCTCGGGACTGGGGTATGGCTCACACTCCTCAGAGAGCGCCTGCCAGGGGGCAGCAGAGCCGGGGGACCACCTACGGCGGCAGGCTTGGGCCTGAGCCTGGCTCTGGCACGGGCCAAACATTTTGAAACCAAAACTCAAAGTGAGAAATTATTTCAGAAGGGTTTCCAGTATGAGTCTTACCACAATTATGTACTGAATTAAAACTATTTAAAAACTCATTTGGGATATGTTAGTTCATGAGATCATTGGCCTCTAATGTACCAAGAGGTGGGAAGCAAAAGACAGGTAGACTCAAAAATAATAAATAGGAGGGGAGGGGAGGGGTAGAAGAGAGGGAGGGGAGGGAGAGGCAGAGAGGGGTAGAGAAGGACAGGGTGAGAGAGGGACAGAGGGACAGGGTGAGAGAGGGACAGAGGGAGAGAGAGAGAGAGGGACTGGGAGAGGAGAGAAGGGTGGAGGCAGGGAGACGGCAGAGAGGGGCAGGGAGGGGTGGGGGAGAGGGGGACAGGGGCAGAGGCAGGGAGGGCCGGGGGCAGGAAGCGCGCGCCTGAGGCCCGAGGAAGCGGCTGACCGCAGTGCAGCAAAAGCACAAGCGCTATTCCGGGCAGGACGTGCTGACCCCACAGCCTCACGAGGGGGAGGTGGGGGGGAGGCAGGGAGGGGACACAAGGCTGGGACAGAACAAGGCACAAGACACAGAGAAGCACCCACATTTGAACAAACAAGACCATCACACACACCCACGCATCATAAGGGTAGGGACCACGGCGTCCGTGCTGTGCATCACCCATGCATTTCTGCCGCCAACTTCAGGCCGAGTGGCGCCAGGAGGGGCAGGGCAGGGCGTGGTCTGCACTGCTCGACATGCACGCATGACACAGGGTTCTTCCTGTCCAGCCCTCAGGATGAGCTCCAAAAACGCAAATGCTCGAGATCTTTATTCAAAGGGGCCCCTTCCGTCATCCTGGTCTAAAAAATCCCATCATAGGCTCACATTCATCTTTACTATCAATTGGATTGTTAAAAACACACTGTGGCTGACTGCTGTTTGGTTTCTTTTTGGAGAAAATCCATCTGATTGTGAATCATGCTCATGCACTTCTGACCTTCCATCACATGCTTATTCCAATCAGATATCGGTAAGAACAAATGGTCAACATCCATAAACAACTGGTGCTCATACATAACTCCAGCAACACAAGCTTGAATAAAGTATTTTAATGAGTCTTCAAAGGGAAAGCTTTTCAGAAAATTATTTTCTTCCTCTTTATAGAAGAGGAATATCGAAGGAAATATAGGATGAAAACTTTTAAGACCAGTAAAATGGTCATAACTGGCTAACCTAACACGTCTTGTCATTTAAGTTGCTAAGTTATCAAACCACAACATTTGTCTAGGCCCACATCTCCATAATGAACATTCAAGGTTATTCTCAAACGAATCTAAGTTAAATGATTGGTACACCAGAGAAATTGGGTTTTAGTCTTAATTCACTTGGATAAAATCAGTTCTCTATCTTCACCTCCCTGGAAATTTGGTCTCCTGCTTTGTGAGTTCCTGGATATTCTATTACCTTTTCTATCCTGGCAACTGACCTGGAAGACTTTTTTCCCCTCTGTCGAGTGAAATTATAGATCGTACGATCTGGCTTTCAGTAACACTCTCTGCTGTGGGCTGGAGAGTATGCTGTTCAAAGCAGCAGTAGGAGCCTTCGGGAGGTGCTCGGAGGGTTCATGGCAGCCGGGGTTACCCCTCTCACCTCCAGCTGCTAAGGCATCATAGACGTGTGTATCTCACTCCTGCTTCTTCTCCTACATTTCTTGGCTGCAGGTAAACTTCTCATCTCACTGTGAGCCGGTAACACCCTGCTGAGGTGCCACTGGCCTGAAGAGTCCCCGAACTAAGGACCCAGCAGTTGCTTCTGTCAGTACACAGGCATCCTATAAAGCCTTACTCCAAGGGTCTCTTTATCCTACCACAAAGAGAGATCACCTTAACTTTCTCTCTCTCCAGATGAAAAGATCTGATCAGAAACAGTATCCTAAAATTAGGATTGACCCCCTAAATTCTCATTTTTCATACCAGGGGACATATTTCCTACCTGAAATAGCCTACCAACTCCAAGACCTACATGCATTTGATTTACATAAGCACACGGATTTTATTGAAAGGACTTAGAAATTATTGCTCTGGAGTCTTACGAGATAAATGATCGATACTTCTTCAAATATCTCACAGAATTCAGGAACCTTATGGTTACATTTGACCCTGGAGTTAATTATAGGGAACTCAAGGGCTTAAAGCATCTGAAGAAGAATAGAACAACATCCCTTAAACTACATTAAAATAGCCTTAAAGCTCTGAGAATAATCGATAGAAGTCAGGAAGTGCTCAATTAATGATGAAACCTACAAATAACTAAGCTTAATGGAGAGCCCTGCCGGAGACACTGCCAGCACTGTGGGGCACTACCTTTCAGAGGGCATGTTTTGTACCTAATTGATTTCTCATGACTGTCAGTGCACCTGGCCCTTAGACTTACTTTATGAATTTTCCTTTTGTGCCAATGACAGGCAAGGGTATGGGGGCGGGAGCAGGGTAAGGGGGACATGGTGCCCTCTATGCAAGTTTGTTTTGCCTCCTCAGGAAGTCCAAACTGGGGTGGGGTGTGGGGCCACCTGCCAAGCCTCTGGGCCTGACCTTTAGGGACAGCTCACCCAGAACAGAGATCTCCAACTCTATAAGTCCTCAAAAGCAGACCTGTTTAGGGAACTAAGTCTGGGCCAGGAAGAGATGCTTCTCTCAGAGTTGAATGCACACTATGGGGTTGGTTGATCACCTCATCAATTAATTGATAGATTTTAACCCTGCGTAACATGCAAAGTAATTTAAGTACGTCCTTTACCAAAAAATTCCTTTGGGATACAATTATTAAAATTCAGCCCATTTTTTTTTTTAACTAATGTATCTTTTTCTAAGTACAATATCATCAGGGCTACATTTGAGTTAAGTAATTCAGTAACATACAGATGAAACATGATTCTAATTTTCTGACTGGAGAGACACAGAAAAGCTAATAGACTCATTCCAGCCCAGTAAGTCAGGGGTGAAACTGGAAAAAGGATTTCTTCATGGCCCCTTCTGAGCTTTATTCACTCAGTTTTTATCACCTTTTGATTAAAATCTTAACCAAGTATTATTTAGTATTTGCCTACAAAATATGCACACACAAATGACTTTTTAAGGCCCAATTCATGTTGCTAAAATTTGTATGCGGTATCATTCTTGGTTTGGGGAAGTTTCCTGCCACGTTAGCAGAAACATCTATGTACACACAGAATAAGAGGCAGCGGGCAGCGGGCTGTGGAGTAAACGCGATGGGGAACATAATTCAAGGGCGGGCAAGGATCTTCCTGGCCACCGCCTCACAGATCTGCACAGGAACCTTCAGCCTTATCTGTTCTTCAGCATCAATTCCTAGACACACAGGAGTCCTCTTCAAAATGTCCTGGGATCCTGTGCTACAAAGGAAGTGGCTGGGCCTTTAATTCAGATGCTACGATTTTTAGGCAAACAGTTGTTTTTGTGAAGTCGCTTTCATCTCCATGTCTGGTGGAGTTACTAAATAACTGGGACTCCTCCCAGCCCAGCCAGCAAGGAGGCGGCCTTGTCTCAGGTTGCAAACTCTGGCTACTGAACTCACAACAGAAATGACAAGACTTAACACCCTTTCAAACCTTAAATATTATAGTATATTTATGAGGTCGTCTACTTGAAAGGGGATTTCCCTTGAAGACTACATTCCTCTCTTTCCCAGGCTTGCCTTGCCTCTCAGCAGTGCTGAGCAAGTAGGTAAACAGGAGTGTGATACCAACCGTGAACTGCCGGTTCTGTCGTCGCCGTTGTGTCTACAGACAGGAACAGAGGATTGGAGGAAGGGAGGAAACAGGAGGAACCGCATGCAAAAAAAGGGAAAATGGAAAAAAATGGAACAGATAATATATGAGCAAGCTTTCAAAGAACATCGCGTGACAAGCAATAATAAATGAAAAGCAAAAAGCATTTGAGGTGAGTCGCACTGTTTTAAGACATGCCTTCAGCTCAAAGCTGCGAGCCGGAGAGGAGCAGTCAGGCCTTTGGTTCTGGGGGTCTGGCCAGGACACACCTACTTGCTAGTCAACAGTCGGGGGCCATGCGAAGCGAAGAGGAACACCAGCGTGAGCTCTGCTGACTGGCAGATGGCTCCGAGCGCACCAGGGCTCGGCACCAATGGAAGAACAGCCTCGGCCGGAGCCTCAGCAATGGATTCGGACATCCAGGCACTGCCTTTGCTTTAACCCAAGCCACCTGCGTACTTGGGCTTCACGACTGCTGATGAGGCATCACTGAGGCCATCACGCTTGAAGGGTCCGTAACAGTTACGCGCAGACGTCTGGGGATGAACGCATGGATTCGAGTTCTTCATCCAGTGTGTTCCTCCTTTGGCAGAGTTCAGTTGGAAAGAACGTGTCACGGTTTCAGACTGCTTTCTGTGCCCGGACACCCACCCACCCACGCCCACTGTTAATCCATCTTCCCTCTGCAGCTCTTACCACGTCACGATCTAAGGGCAGGAGTCTGTCACGGAAACACCCAAGTCCACACAATTCGCCGAATGCCACTTCTAGTCGTGCGACATTCCAAAATTTTAAGTATCAGCCACCCCTCTGCTCGAATTCAGAACCATTCCCGCCGCTGTGAGCTGCCCGGAGTCGTGCCTTCCCGGCTGCGTCAGGCGACAGCACATGATTTCCTCTCACTGGCGGGTGCACGTGCTATGGAAGAAAGTGTGGTTTGTCTCTTTCTTCTTCTATTTCCCATGCTGCTCAAGTTTCCTTCTCCTCTTCCCAGGCTTTACACCGGGCCTACAGAGCTGACTCCTCTTCACAGGAATTCTTCAGAGGCTCAAGAAATTCTGTTTTTATTTTAGCCTAGAAGGGAAGTGGGACAAGTACCTAACAAATTGCACGAAGACCTTCTTTTCCCAGAGTTGTTTTAGCACCACTCTTCCGGCCAACTTCATTCCCAGGTCAGCCCATCTGGCCAGGCTTCGTGCTCATTTTCCACCGCTCACCTACACGGCCTCCCGCTGTGCCCACTTCCTGCCACAAAGGAGTGGCGGCAGTCACCTCGAGCCGATGTGGGATTCTGGGCTCAGGGCAGGCAGTTACCTGTCCTTTTTGGTAATGCAGGAGCCATGGCCTCATTTTCCCGAGTTCTGGAGACCCTTCTGGACTGGAGACAGGCGACATTTCCATGCCCTGGAATGCCAGCCTTTTTTTTTGGTCAAATGAGCCTGGTGCTTCTGACTCACAAATACAACAGTGCATTCATACTGGTGTTCCCTTTCAGCTGGCATGCTGTCCTCAGGGCCCTGCGCTGTCAAAACATGAGAGCCCTTCTAAGAAGCTAGAATCAACCCGCCGCCTGTGAGGCCGCCGCGGCTTACTGTAACTTAGCACTGAGTTTCTGAGGAACAGATGAAGGGAAGAAGAACATAAAATACACTGAGCAAGAACACAATACTTACTTACAAGCCGAGCCTGTGTGCATAAAATAGCAGTAAGAAAGCAATACCAAAAACTGTACAGTTTAAACACCTCTACACCAAATTCCCATGACTCAGGTGGACACATCCTTAATTCAAACATCTGAATCAACTGTTGGCTTGAGGTTCTTTCACTTCGAGGGGCAAAATCAAATGAACGTGCACACGGGAACCTCTGCATGCACGTCACCGCATCTTATGGCTAGCGCTGGCCCCTTTCCAAAATAAAACAACAAAGCAGCGAATGCCCGGGCCCCTTGGTGTGCGGCAGCACTTCTACTCTGCTTTGTTTTGGAGAGCTAAATAATTAGTATGAAAGGGGAAGGGGAGAGGAGTAAAATGTAAGGGTTAGTCCTAAAAAACAGCATCTCAGCATGAGCCCGTGGTCGCCCTGGTTTGCTGTCTTCCTACATCACGTCATGTCAGCCTTGGGACAGAGCCGGGGGAGCGTGCCGTCGGCCTCTGGGTGGGTGCTGGGAGGCAAAGGGAGCGAGGGTCACAGGGCAGCGGGCCTCCCCATCCCGGGAGCGGGAAATCTACCAGCCACACCCACCAGGTGGGGAGAGGGGAGGCCGAGAGCACCCTTGTAAGACAATTAAGCCTGTGCTGCAGGCAAACAGAGCAGTTAGTGCAGCTGGAGAGGCGAAACCGTGGCCAGCCACGGGACACTAGGAGCTGTGGCAGAACACGAGGGCCACAGGGGGCAGGACAAGGTCAGGCGGCCTGGGGGAGTCGGCGGCTGTTTCTCTGAGAGCACCTGGCGTGCTCTCTGAACAGAGGCGATTTCAAGTGCAGAATTAAGAAAAAATTCTGTGTAAGTGCCTTTGTTCTCCCTGCGGGATCTGCTTCTACTCCGTCACTGCGTGCTCCCCGCACGCAGAAACCACGGCCCTCTGGCTCGGAAGGGAGGGCAGCTCCGGGAGGCAGGATTTACTAGGTGTCTTCACCAGAAGAAAGGAGAGGCGTGCAGGCCCGCCCCTGGGAATCAACTTGTGGGGTCACTACATTGTCCGGTAGCGTTCTAAGCATACAGGCAACATGCAAGCGGTAAATTTCCAACGTAAGTTATAAATGCTGAAATTAGCTGGAAAAGTAAGAGTGCCTAATGGCTTTAATAGAGACTCTTTAAAACTTTTTGTCGCTGCCTTTAAACAATCGCCTTTGAGCCAGGCCTATGAGAGAGAGGGGTGAGAGAGAGCTGGGAGGGGCGTAGGGCGGCGCGGGGCCACGGGGAAGTAAGGCCCCCCTGAGCCGCTGTCTGTTGTAATCACGATGAGAGCAAGTTTGTTGTGCATTTTACACGGTCAACAAAAACAAACCCCACGTTCTCGCAAACCCAGTGCGTGCGTAGAGCCTTGACAGTCACTCTCTAGCTGGTTTGTGAGTCCGATCAAACAGGGGCGGGTCCCACGCTGTTTGAAAGGTGCGCATTTCACTAAATATTGACTTCTTGTCTCCCAGCCTCACAAACAGTTGATGGCGCCCTACCTCGAATAAACTAAACACCGCTTATATTTCATGTTACAGGGCAAGAGATTTACAGAATGAAAACGCTCTGATAATGTGTGAGATCTGAGACACGAGCCATTCAACCAAATAGAAAAAAAAAAAATGACTGCATGTGAGGCAGTTGGGCAATATTTAGCTGAAACAGTCGTGTGGAAGCCGCACTGTGGCACATTCCGACCCTTCCACAGGGAGCCTCTCCGGCTCAGAATTGCTCACTGAGTGTGACAGACTGGGGGTTTAAAACTAATCCGTGAATTAGTCCATGGTCTCAAACACAACGGGTGCCATAAATGCAAATGAAAGTCCTAGAACAAAATTAAATTCACACCCTTAAATGCCTTTTCTTCTGCATTTGCTCTGAGGTCCTTCTGCTTTCCAATGCACAGATCCACTGCGAGCTGGCATGATGCCAGGGGGAGGGGAGGATGCGTGAGGATAGCGCACATTAAAACACACCCCCAGAAAGCACGACCTGCTCGAAAGCAGAGCTTAATTGTAAAGATTTTAAATTCTCCCATTTTGATTGTCATGAGCTTCAGTGCAAGCATACTAAGCAGTCTGGACATATTTTAATACAGTTTCCCCCAATTTATTTCTTCACTAAAGTCAATAAGGGGCCAATGGGTTTTCTTAATTGAGTCCCCTTCAGTTTGTGGTAAGGAACTGCTTTAAATCTAGACACCAGGGCCGGCACGGAATTCCCCCAACAAGTTTGTTCTCATAGTTGGCGCTGCGCTGCCAATATATATTAAATATAGTATATCCCCCCCCCCCCCCACACACACCTTATTTATTTATTTCTGACTTATTTGAAATCTGTTCGAAGCAAAAAAACATGCTGGAGAATTAAACCTCTAAATTTATTTTCTACTGGTTGCCCGGTTAATTTTCTTCCTGTCTATGTCCTGCTTTAATTAAACTCCTGTTTCTCAGGGATGGGAGAGTGGTTAGGAACAGAACTGGGGCTAAAGGGCCCGGACAGGAGAGCCGCAGCTTGGCTCGTAATTCTTAGTGCCACGTCCCCTCTGAGTGAGGACACCGGGAGCCACAGAACAGCAGAAAGGGGACTGGATTTTCTGTTGTTGCTTTTTAACAACTTCAGGTTTTGTTAAAAGCTTCTTCAGAATTGTTCACTGTGCTGCTGTGCCCCTGAGATCCTTTCATTTGCAAACCAGATGTTCTGAAAATAATAGGAATCCATGCAGTGGTTTCACTGAATAAGGCAAACAATTCAGGAGTGGTGTGTCAATGCTGGCAGAAGGGACAGTGAATACCCAGAAGGGGGCAGGCAGGGGCAGAGGGGCAGAGGGCGCAGGGAGGGAGGTGGTGCAGAGAGGCTCTGGGGCAGCAGCTGACGTGCACCCTGCGGTGGATGCTGCACGGAGGGGTCCTTCCTGCCTAGACCTCAGTTCCCATCACCAACAGGGCTCTGACTACTACACTCTCATCAAGAGGAACCTGGATCTAGGATATTATTTTTTTGCACTGTTGATAAATCTGTAGCATGGGAACACGTCGAGTCTTTTTATCTCTTGGATTACTTTAAAAGTATGGAAATTTTGAGAGAAGCATTAGGAAAAAAACTTACTTCCCATCTCTCATTGCTTTTTTCAAATATGCAAAATCAGCTGACCTCCATCTCTGTTGTGTTTTAACGGTTTCCATTTCCTCCTCAATCAATATGGGTCAAAAACTGGTTGGCCACGATGCCATTTGTACTAGTTTTACAATCATAAGATAAAATGTGCACACTTAAGACAGTATGAAAAAGTGGTCATGCACTCTGGGGCAAAAACTTAAAAAGGTGGCTCATTACATGACAGGTGGCTCGGGAGCACTGCTTGTCATCACGCAGGCTGGCCTGTCAGTGACACTCCGTGTTCAGTAAATGATGAGTGAAAACCAGTCTTAATGGCGTAGATGCCAACTCTAGAAAAAAGGCAATTTAGTAAAACATTCTAGGATGAAAAATGTGTATTTCCTAGGAACAATGGCTTAATATAAGCCCAGAACATAAATACACACAAAGTACACACACATGAAGATAGATGCTTGGGGTAAAGTGGGCCTTCATGTCTCATCTCAAATGCCACCCTTGCCTACCCATGTTCTCTCGATTCTTTGACGGCACAGATCAGATTCTGCTTCTCCTGTGCTGTTCTCCGGTCTGCCTATGCCACCGAATCAGACCTGACACCATACCTCCTGCTTCTGAGTCCCACCACGTATGACCTATGCCCTCAGCTGTACTTTCAGGGGTTCAGGGAGCATTCTGTCCCCCCCAGGTGCCAGCACTGTGCTGTACACACTAAGGGCTTGGTACTTGTAGAGTGAATGCCCAGGAGCAGACAAGCCTATTCTTCTGCACCAGGCGACTACCAATAGCAAGTAGAGAGCAGGAATAGCTAAGCTAAGGACCTGGGGATGGAGCTCGAAGTACCTTCGATGCTCATGTTAAAGAGCCTACCTTAAACCCTGGTGTCCTTTCTCCTTGCATCTAAGAAACCGAAAACACGTGCTATGGTGCTGAGATTCCCATTCGGCATATTCTACAAATGTCACAAGTGTACTCAGCTTTTATGTGATTGATCCACCCACATTACACACACAAAAGCCTGTGACATCAGACCACGAAAGCCAAAGTAATAATGTGAGCCTGGGGGTAGGACTCACTTTCTCCAAGGCACACTGGGTTTCGAGGGCTCAGAACACAAATGCGAAGACCTTCCTGCTTTCTTTTCCAAGAAACGCAAAATCTTTAATTGGATACATACTTTCAAAAAGAGAAAAACTCATTTAGAAATGACCTGTTTTGTTCTTATGAAAAGATTTTTAAATGTGGTTTCAGAATTTGGCCCTATAGCTATTCATTTCTTATTCTAAAGTGGTTTCAATTTTTAATTTATGACAGTCCCGAGTGTAGGGTGACCTACAGGTTGAACTCCTCCCAGCCTGGATTTTATGTTTAAGCTGAGGTGGGTGTTTGACCCAGTGCTGCCTGTTCTCTGCGGTAGTCCTTGTCAAGCATCTAGTTCAGGACACAGCCTGGCAGAAACGACACAACATCCGTGTTAACCAGGGAGGGAAACGCAAAATATTTTCCTAAGACGATTCTAGGAAAATGATCGATCCAACTGTCAGGGGCAAAAACAATCATGACAGAAAGAGGGAATTTTATCTACCCCCAATACACAAAGTCAAAAGTACAAAACAAACAGTCCCCCGCTGTCTTGGCAACAGGTTTGATTCTAGTTTGAGAGGAACCCGCATGAAGGACTTATCCTGGGCAAATGGCTGGCTGTCCCTGTATCTTAACAGAGGATTCCAGGGACAACTTATGCAGTTTGCCCTTCTGGACTTCAGCACGTATCTTCATGAATGAAACCACACAGACAACTTGACATGACATAAAAAAGAAGAATAAGAAAGGACTGGGGGCCTGCCAATTGCACATTTGAAAAACAGAAATGTGTGGTCAGAATAGCATGTACATGACAGAGGACAGACACCAAAGAATTTTCTGGTGAATCACAATGAGGCTGTGGATGGCTCCCATCCCACTTCTATCCCTCAAATGGTTTTTTATTTGGAAAGAGATTCTGATGACGTAAGGGCTGAACAGACAAAACGCTATGACAATGTTGGTATGTCACATGGACATCAAGTGTCCCTTTCAGCATTCTAGAGCCATCATGAATTCTGCCCTAGATAAAGCTCCCCTTGAAGGTGTGGGCCTTCCCAGGAGGGCCAGGAGATCTGTCTGTGCAGCACGGACAGGAGACAGACGCCCCGCTCTTCCCACCAGGTCTGTGCTTCTGGGTGGAAATGTCAAGTCACACTGGCTCCCAATTTTTGACTTTGAAGGGTCTCCACAAAGAAGCCTTAACATGTTTTGAAGGGAGGCGGGCAACTGGGAGCTCAATGACAGGCTGCCTCCCTAACAAGGGGAACAAACTGATTACCCTGGTTACGGAAGATCAAAGATAGCACTGGGACACTTCCTTTCAGAGAAATCAGAAATCAACTATGACCTCTTGAGTTTAAAAAAAATTTCCTATTGCATTTGTACATTTTTCTTGTAATGAAACCCTGACCTGGGGAATGGGTTTCCATGATTGCATCTGCCTGGGAGAAAAGAAACAGATGACTGTGGGCTTTCTTTTTTTTTTTTTAAAGCCCAGGTTTTATGCTACTGTCACTAGATTTAGCTGTTGAAGCTTTTAAGGCTAATAATGGTGGCTGTAATGTAGCAAACAGTGCAAGAGAGAAGAGTGGAAATGAATTCAGCTATCTATATGTCAAGATTCAGTCTAGAAGATCTCTTAGGAACCAGTCTCAGTCTCAGGACCTTTCAAACAGGACCCAGAGTCATTCAGCTCCATAACCTCTAATCTGTTTGAAGAAAGGAACAAATGCTGAATTCCACAAGTGTGCTTTCTGGGCAAGATAAATCCACGGAAGCCTGCCCGCTAAGACACCGCAAGCCTGCAAGAGCGCCCGTGAAGGCTCCGGATGCTGCAACGTTTCAGGGCGATTTCAGTTTGACTGTTCCTGGGGTGCCAGTGGGAGTCGGGCCTCCTTCCCACAGTTGCGTCTGTGTGCAGAGATCAGTCTGGGCGCCGAGGCCAGGCGCAGAGAGAGGGGCAGAGACAAGCCCCGGCTACAGAACCTTTGAGGTGCACAGAGGCGTAGCACCGCTTGTTTGCACCATTTCCTGAGAGAACAGTGAGCTGCTGGACGCAAGCTTGGCTTCAGGCTGGGGGGAAGGACTGGGTGCCGGGGAACTGAAGTGCCTCTCTGGGCCGCTGAGACTGAGTGCGCGGGGCTGTTGGGAAAAGTCTTAGAAAAAGCCTCAGCCGGTAAATGGCCAGCCACAAACGAACAGGGCTGCTCCACATTAGAGAGGAGTGAGTTGTGGATACGGAGAACAAGGCCTCAACTGCTTAAAACGTAAACCTGGCCAGCTACGCAGGTTCTACCATGAGATATAATAAGGGCTGCCTCATCCCCGGGCAACTGCCGCCCAGACAGACAGACGACTGGAGGGCTTCCTTACAGGCGTCACGGACACAGGGCGGCGATGAATGGGGATGCAATTCACCCCGACGCCCCAGGCAACTACGAAACAAGAGCTCGAGCCTAAGTCAGCTTATAACCTGGGGAAGAGGTAAGAAATCAACAAGGTGGGAACACGGTCGTCCTATGGGAAGTCGGCAGCTCGGCCGCTCGGGACCTCGGTTAGGAAGGAGTGTGTGCCACTCATGAGGGGAGGAGGAACCCGGCCGCAGGGCCAGCGGACCGGGCTCACTCAGCCACAGGAGGGACTCACGGCCAAGGCAGGACAGAAATGCAGAACGGAGCGGAGTGCAGGGAGAGGCAGAGACCAGCTGATGGATTTTCGGAAGACTCTAAATTAGGTGTGGGCACTGATTTTTATAAAGGACACTCAAAGAACTCCTCCCTGGAGGCTCAGCTCAAGGCCCTCTTTGCTCCACAGTCAGGGTCGGAAAGGTGAGCAAGACTGCGGGTGGCCCACTGCCCACCGTGGGATTTTATAAGCCGACAGGGCCTCCCTGCACTGGACACGCTGGGCCGCTGTCCGCTGTCCCTCACGAGTCCTGTGAAAATGGAAGGTGTCTCCAGGAAGTCACCGTGCAGGTCGGCTGCCCCACCGAGGGTGGGGAAGAACGAAGAGTGAGTGTCCGTGTTTGTAAAGAATGCTGTGTGCCGGTGACAGAACTGAACCCAAGGGCACGCGGCTCGGGGAGGCGCAGCCGTCTTCTCACGGACCGGAGGGCAGTGGGGATCGCCTCATGCAGGGCCGGCCGTCCTCGCAGAACGTGCCCTTCACACGTGCCCGGGCCGCGCCTGTGGCAGTGGCTGGGCAGCCATGCCCGCCTCATGGGCAGAACGGGCGCCGAGGCCCGGACACGTGGCCTTCCCGGGAAGGGCCGAGAGAGCCAGAAATAAGAGACGCGGGAACTCATTTTGAGCAAGAGCCCCGCCAGTCTGGAGACAGAGCCACAGAGGTCGGGCCGCTGCGGCGCCGTCCCCAGCGACAGTGAATGGGGGGCCGGAGGGGTGCAGGCGCCTGGGGGAGGGCAGCGCCGCTACCGGCAGGCGCTCTCCGGGGCAGGAGGTGGGGGGGCCGTAGCAGCGTGGCCCCTGCTGGCATGTGAAGGGTGTGTGTTTTCCTTCACACGGATTAAGATGAAATTAAGATCCAAAGACAGAATACTTACCATTCGTCAGCCATGGCTAAGCATAAGCCGTCAGCGGGCTCTCTGACGCCAGGCTGCCATTTTCCCTAGCATTTTGCTTGTAAAGTGATGTGTAAAAAAGAATTCTCTTATGCATAAGCTGCAAAGTATCTGATCTACTGTTAAATGCTCGGATGTTAGAGATTTTCTGAGGTCCTTAAGATTCAACTTAAGAACAAAGTAGCTAATGTCTTTGAAGTTCCAAAGTAAAAGAACAATTAGCTGCAAGGGCTTAAAGGGAACTTTCAGACTTCTTTTCATACACACTAGAAAGACAACATACATTCAGGACATTTCAGTGGCGATGAAGGTACCGTACCTGCGGTGATGGTAAGGATGGTGGTGGTGGTGGTGGTGGTGGTGGTGGTGGTTGTTGTGGGAGGAGGGAGAGTTGTGGGGGGATCTGGATAAAAACAAAAAGGAGAATCAAACCCACAATGCTGCACACAACAATGGCCGGTCATGACAAAACAAAGGCATGAGGACACTGAGATGCTTGATGGCTTCCCGCCCCGAAACCGGGGGTTTCCCCCACAGATCCATGTCTTGTAATTATATCCCAGAGCCTTAGCTGGAAAAGCTACAGAAAGAAGGAAAGAGCTTTGCACTAATGAAGGGAACTTGGGACAAGGAGATGGGAAGCGGAGAAGGGAGGAAACGCGAAGCCGCTCGCGCCAGTCTCCAGGCCCGTCTCCAGGGCGAGGCCGGACCGACTGGGCACCCGTGCGGTTCGATGGCTGCCGTTCCGTTTTGCGCCTTTACAGGGGGGAGGAAGGTGGGGGAGACGGTGCTGCTCTATGGAAAGGGCTCCTCAGGCCGAGGAGGGGGTTGCCCCCGCTCCTGGCGCGCTGTGACTGCTGACTTCATTATTCTCCATCAATACCTCCCAGCAGGAAGGAAGGCTACTTTTATCCTTGTAATAAACACAAAGAAGAGAGAATGTCATCACTAAATATCAAGTTCCATGCGTGTGCAATTTCGCTGAGATTTTATTTTTTAAAGTCAATAAAATTTGAGACACATAAATATTAACGGTAGTTGCCTTTGCAGATGTTAAAAGCGTGACCTAAGGGAATGACCATGAAAAACAGGAAGACAGTTTCCACCCTGTAAACAAGGCGACTGAGCACAGATGAGGCTCAGCCCTCCAAGCAGGGATGCGACAGGTAACCCTCTGTCAGGTGTTTGATACAGTGCACATTCCACCACCTCGAAGCATTATTTGGGGGGAGAGGGAAGGGCAAAAAATGAAAGAGAAAAAACTTCTAAGCCCAAATGATCAAACAGAATGTGTTAAATTGTCAGCAAGACTTTGAACTAAGCAATCACTCTGCTATAATAGAGCATAAGATGATTTGAAGGCTTTTGATTTTAAATTTTATCTAAAGCACATCAACTCTTTCTCCCTGACACATCTGGTGTCCTTTTATCTCCAAGCAAGCTCTCAGACCATCTAATTAATACATCAAAACTTTAATTATATAGTGTACCTTTACTGGGTCTGGTCTGACTTCCTGGAAGTTTATGAAAACAGATCTTGGTGCTTAGTTGTAAGGCCTGCTTAAAAGGATTACTACTATTGATCAATAATCCAAGGTTTTAATTTTCCTCACAAACTTCTCACATATACAGGAGCGTATGAATCTCACAGCACAGAAACAATGGCAGATTGTTCTGTTTTATGGGAGACTTTGTTCATTTAAGTTGGGAATGCAAGCAGTTTATTGTTTAGAGCGGCCTTACGTGAGTCTGAAAAGGAACCCACTAAAAAAAATAGTCTCATTCTCCTCCAAGAAGTAGAAATGATTAAATTAGTCATTTAGAAGCACAGCAAGCAGTGTGTTAGCCTTGTATCTTGGACCCTTTCTCTCGGAGGCCACAGGAGGGGAGGCGTGGGTGCACCTCCACGCTGCAGGGGCAGAGGAGCAAGGCCCCCTGGCCCGAGCCGGCCCGCTCCCTCCTGCACCCACCTGACTGTGCCCCAGAGATGCCCGCTGCTGCCCAGCACGTGGACAGCTTGCTTGGTTTTCTGTTCTGGTTCAATTGTAAAACAGGAACCGTTGTGCCTGGGAGCCTCCCCTGATGTACGATCACATTATTTCCTATCTATTTCTCAAAGCACTGGCACAAAATGGGCAATGAGTCCACAACACAAAGTGGCCCTGGAGGTGGTTTGAAAATCTGATTCTGAACAAGGCACGGGCCAGGCTAACGAGGGCAGAGACTTCAGAGAAAAGGTCACCAGCCCCTTTCATTTCATGACAATCACACACTTTCAGTCATTTTTGTCACTATGGGGTAGCTGCTGTCCCTCACCTCTGGTGCCAGTGACCTGAGTGAACCACTGTTAGCACGTATACCCTCCTTGCTTAGGATAATTTCTAGCTATAAGAGCAACATGAGGCCAGTATTTAAGAAAATAAGAGATGGAGCTAATGGGCTGGGTTTGACACACAGAAGCCAAAAGAATAAAACCATCTGGGGCTTAGGCACTAACCAGCTACTCTTCAAGCACAGGATCATTTCCAGAGAATTAGACATTTCAAAGGCATGTTAACTGTAAGTTCATGAAGTACTTTGAAAGTTACCGTAGTAGTACAATAAATCACTTTTGAAACAAAAATCTATTGGCCATCTTCTCAAATTGCTAGAATATTTTTTTAATAGACTAGCAACACTTTGAGCTCATAGTCTGGCCGGCCATGCCAGCGTTGCCACGGGCACTGACTGCTGGAGGCAGACCGTGTGCTGCAGACCTAGTAAATCCCTCACTGACCGGGGCTGCGGATGCGTGGATGTGCGTGTGCCTGCCTGACGGGTGGCTCTGTGCTTCCTGGCTTTCAGATGTGCTCGGGCTCAGCAAGTTAGTTCCGAGGCAGCCATCTCACCAGGCTGGATCCCCTGGGAAGCAGTGAGGGTTAAGAGGACCTACAAAGAAGGACACCAACTCGGTGTACACTCTGGAGTCCACACACCGTGGCCCTGAAACACACTCAGGAATCTTGTGAACTTGGGCGACTGACGTGACCTTTCTATGCTCCACCGTATCATCTGTAAGATGGGATGACGACGTGCTTACCTCAGGGTGTGACTATGGGGATCAGAGGTGGCCGTGCATGTGAAACAGCCACCCTGGGACATGGATTCAAGCGAGCACTTGATAAATGCCGGCCGTAAGCTAGAGTCTAAGGCATTCCGACGTATCTGCCCATCAGATCCACAAGATGCTTCTCATCTTGAAATGTAGGAACAGTAGGTTACAGTAAACCAAAATTGTTCTTCCAGGCAACTCAGTCTTCAGAAGCCAGGAAGTGCATAATTGACTGGTGGAGTTTGTCACTGCTTTTTAAAGTCTGCAGTCTGCGGCAAGAGCTGCTGAAGGTCTGTAAGCCTGGGGAGTAACCATGTAGGGGGCTTGCGTGGGGCTCACGCCCTGATGGACAGCAGGGCAGGAGGGAGGGATGCAGAAGTGAAAGGGAGGGACATACCTTCTGCCCCTCGTATCAGCAGGAACAGGGGCGGCTGTGTGTCACCAACTGAAAATGGGACACACGGCACCCCTCGCACCAACACAGAAAAGCCACTCCCTTCACTTTCACCTCCTTAACTACGGGGAGAGCAATGCTATTGTGTGTAGACCACAGACAACAAGTGGAAAGAACACATACCTCAGAAGAATACAAATAAGATGATTAGCTGTGATCTTTAATTTTGCATTAACACTAAGGGGAAACAAACCTCAGGTACAGGCTAAGGACTGTATTTTAATATCCAGGTAGCTATGGTGTAAAACATGCTTCTATGTAATTGAAAAGACCCCTCCTCCTATTTACTTCCGAGAGAGGGGGGCCAGTTCTAAGACACTGTGGTATACTTCTCTGTGTACACGTGTATATTCACATATACGCACACCTGGGATTCTCACAGTGCTAACAGAAGGAAGGAAGGCATACACATATTCCTGTACTTGTAAGCCACTGGAATCTGCATGTCTGTGGCTATTCATTCTGTGTCATGTCAGTCCAGGACTATTTTTCCTGGTAGAAAACTAACCATGAGGCTTCAGTTGACAGAAGAGACTCAATGTGTCCTTTTAGATGAGAGAGGCAGTGCAGTCCTCAACTAAACAGAATATCATCACACACAAAACTGACAGTAAGATAAGAACGGGAGCTAAACAGAAAATGCCTGGCATAAGTAGATGCTCAAGAAACTGTCGATCAGAGAACGATATTCATGATAGTATGCTTTAATAAATCTGTAAGAAGATGTTAAGACAACAGACCAAAAAAGCATTTGCATCTAAAGCAGCAGCTGTAGTGGTTCATGTGCCTTCCCAGAACCTTACACTTTTCCCCAAGTATTTACTGGCACGCAGCATCTTCTGGGATGTAACAGCTTCCTGCTCAGACTAGGATGGTTCTGTTCATCAAAATGCTAGCTGACTCTATCGTAGGAAAATACCAGTGGGAATAAACTTTTTGAACTAAAATGCCACTAATTGGTACGGCTGCATTTTGGCGTTATTTCTAACACAATCTCCATAGCCTGTGCCCGAGGACACAGCTTTCCTATTCAGCAGGACCAGAGGCGGTGATTCGGTGGGAAATGCCCACAATTAGAGGGTGAGAAGGGAAAGCTGCTGCCCCCTAGGTGAAGACACCGGGGCCCACCTCGGGTCAGACTTCTCTAAGGCCTTGAGGGAAGGAAGCTGTTTTATGGTTTTCAACCTGACTGGCAGCTCTGGGAGGGCATCGCGAGCGGTGGGCGAGCTTGGCCGAGGAGTGTCCCACCCTCTCACGTACCGTATACATACAGCATGTAGTCCGAATGTGCTTTGCCCACCACATTTGAGGCCTCGCAGCGGTAGGTACCATTATCTGTTTTGTTTAGGTTGTTGATGAACAAGTTGGGCCCGGACAGCACGGCGTGTTGAGGCATTTCATCATCGACTCTCATCCAAGTTACCATCACAGGCCTGCAGAGCAAAGGGGAGAGACACAGGTCGTATTATCACCTCCCACCAGGATGTCTGCGTCCGACTTCTCCCCCATGCATTAAATGAGTCACATGCAGGGTGACACGATTAAAGAGGACCGACTGCAGGTATTTTAAGATCATGGAATTACAACTGCGAAGTCTCCAAAAATCTGTCTGGAATATAATTTTTCTTAAACATCATCAGGTGTTGAAAAATCTTCAACAAACCACTAGTGAGAGTCTCATTATTTCCAATTCATCTTCAACAAATCAGCAAATAAACCAATGTGCCTTCTTTTCATGCCCTGCTGTGTGGTTTCACAGCAATTCAGACAGGACAGGGCTCACCCATTGTTAATCACCTCATTAATTAGGGAAAAAAATCAAATTCTTGGCTAGTGATACATGCATTCATCTGACGGTTACTCACATACCAGGACACCTGCATAGATGCCACTTGTGATATTTAAAAGGATTTTGGGTTTCACAAACAGGAATGGATTTCTACATCTGAACAGCGCTTTCCTTTGACCTCCGGTGTCTAAAAAGCCACCTCTTCTCATTCTGGAAAGATGCAATCCCTTCCCCTACTGCTGACCTGCTTTTTCCAAGAGGCTGCCGCGCCCTCAGGTGCACAGTCTGCCATATCTCTGTGCTCCTTGGCAAAATGCCTGCCTGCACCAGCTCTCCAAGGACTACACGACCCCATCCCTGCCGGGTGCATCTCTGCCCAGGCTGCTTGGCACGGCATTTGCTCATCAGAGGCAAGTTTGCTATCATTCACAGAACCACATTTGTAAAAAGCAAATTTCCCAAGACGCTCCAGAGTCAAAATGACACATGCATGGTCTCCTTCAAACTCACTGAACTTAAGGCTCCCCCTCCTCAAGAGGCCTCCCTCGGCCTCCTCTGAAACCGAGGCCATGTCCAGGGTGTGGCTGCAACTTTCACTGTAGGTGAGGGCAACACAGACGGGCGCACAGAAGTGCCTCTAGGACATGAAGACACCCCGGCTTAATGACGGGCGAACACCCAAGCTCACCCTGTCAGGGAGCATTCGGTCTTCAAATGTTACGTGAAGTTATTATAATTTTTCTTTAATTACACATGGGTTTGTCATCACAGCCCAGTAAATTACTTAAGGATTAGTCCTGCATACGTCCCCCTTGCAGGCGACGGCAAATGGGTCCGCCTAGCAGAGACCCGACGCCCTGCTGCTTGACAGCTGAAACAGTCAGAGGGGTGAGCGCTGAGAATATTCACAACATTTAATGGCAAGTTAAATTACCATTTTTATGGTAAGCAATTTCTTGCGAAAATAAATAGGTAATACGCTAGGAGGGACAGCAGCAGCTTGATGCACGCTGGCTCGTACAACCAACACCAGCGCCTGTTTGGGGAACAAACGCCCTCTCCGGCCCAAACGTCCTGGACGAAACATGCAATTTACGGTGCCCACGGCACAGTCAGCTGAACACAGTACAGAAACAAAATACAGGTCAGCAAGCCATACCCTGTAAAGGCGGTTGATGTGGCTCAATACAGGTGCTGCCAGTGGCAAGGGGCCGGTGAGGGTTTCCCCTCCGCGGGACCGCCCCGGAGGCAGAGCGCACGGCTCCCGGGGGCGCAACTTGCAGCGCCCAGGGCCCAAGGCGCCGCAACTGCCACCTGCCGCAGCGCGCGCGAGGGGACAGGGGCCGCCCAAACCACCGCCCACCACCGGAGACACGCGGACGAGCACCAACACCGGCGCCTTCTTCCTAAACGTCATCTCTCAACCTCCGAAAGGCTGGAGCGGGGAGAGGCGAATCCCGGCCCACGGAGGCGAGGCCGAGGCCGGGACGGCCCGGCAGGGCGCACAGAGCACCGGCGGCCGGGCCCCTGCTGTCCCGGGGCACCCTCTCCGCACACTCCTGGGGAGGGGTGTGAGGATGCCCGGGAGGCCAGGGCATAGAGACTCATCAGGACGCCTGTTAGCAGAACTCCGCGAGGAAACAGCTCACAGTGCACGGACAGCAGAGGGCGCTCGCCGCCGACGGGGCAACAAGGTTTGAGGGCTCTGGTCCCAACACTGACCTGACGTTTCGTTTTATGAGCCCGTGGATTTTCTTCCCTAAGAAACGGTTAAAACCTATCTTCACTGTAGCAGGAAGGCGAGAGAAAGGTCCCTTTCTCCTCAAACTAAACTGAGTAATACCTGAAGTGGTTCCGTCGCATGGCTATTCTGCCATATTACTGATGACAGATGCAATTGCTCGAATTCAGGACCATCCGTTTAGTGGCGGCAAGTGAAGTGGTGTCTTTGTACTTTTCAATAAAGTGAGGGTGTTCATCAGCTTCTGGCACATACACACGTGTTCCCTGAGAACAGCTCCGGAACCAGTCCTGACTAACAAAACTATCGCTAGGAGTCACTGTTCCTCGCGGAAAGAAGGAGAATTAAAGGAAGGGAAAGTCTGTTTGCCCACAGCTGGCCCTCAACGCAGCAGCTCCATTTAAATCTGAAAACCATCTTTGCAGCAGCTCAGACATTAACACACAGGGTAGCAGATACATCATTGGATTGTGGGCCCACTAAAATGTATTAGAATTATTTTGTATGTGAGAGAGAAAATAGTTCTGACAATCATGTTGATGATAAAATAGAATTAGGTGAGATTTCAATCTCAGCTGGCATTTCATTTTTTCTACCAATGCTGACCATTAAGAACCACAGATATTTATTCCCCTTTTCACTGAATAGTGTTTATTTCCTGAAAAAACCTCCCATCCTTTACAGCTAGAGACAGGTGACAGGCCAGTGAGTTGTGAATGCATCTCTCTGTTGTGACATTTACTGCCGCCGACCCTCTGCCAACCTTGGCCTTCAGAACTTACTGGGGCTTCCCGATGGCTTCGCATGTTAACTCAAGCGCGTCCCCTTCCCGGGTTAGGCCTTGTAGAGGGTAAGTCATCTGAATATGCACTTGAGGCTTATCTGTGTGACAACACAAAGCATAATGTTTAGCAAATGATATCATCAGGCAAAGTCAGGCTTGCTCGCTGCCACCAACCCCACGCTTCCAGCGCCCACTCCCTCCCCAGCCTCATGTCTTCAGTAACATCTTTCTAATTAGCTAGTAATCCTGGCATTTGCTCAAATTAAATTGACTAATAACTCTAAGGAGTGAACCGCCAACAGATAAGAGATGCATAAGCCAACTGCCAGCATCAAACATTTCCTGTGAAATACCATTTTGTTGCATTGAAGTTTATCTCCAAACTCACTCAAGCTAAAGGAAACTCATTTGCCTTCATGCTGAGGTGAAGCCACAGATATTTGTGGTGCTCGGAATTGATACATTGTATCATACATCATATCTTACTAAGTGACAATAAGTTGTGACACTGCATATTAATAAGTTTGCCTTTTCTATGCTTGTTTTCAAATGGAAAAGGCAAAACTGAATTTCACTCAAAGGCTTTAAGAATAAAGAATTGGGAGGGCTTGGGGCCCCTTAGGAAACACTGAAGTCTCAATGTAAACATACAAGGAAGGAAGGAAACAGGCACTGAGAGCCTCTATGGTGGGACCACCCTAGGGTGGACTAAGTTCAGCTTCAGGGACGAGAGTGCTGATACCCAGAGGATTAAGTGCTCATCTGAGGCCACAGAGGGAACTCAGTAAGAGAGAGCCCAGGGAACGTACGCTGGGAGGGGTTTCCGATTCAAAATCACGTTTCCCAGTGGCAATCCCCCATTAAACCCAAGTACAGCTTCCTAATGTGGTGGAGTGCTTACGTATTCTTAGTTCTACTAGCTACCTAAAAACTGTGTGTGAGTTTGTGGAGGAGTGGGTGTGAGAGATGAATGATGGGGGGGTTGCATACAGGGAGTAGGGAGGGAAGAGGCAGGGCTGGAATTAACGTGGATACAAATACAGTTACAAGTCAAGCCTGAATGGAACTGGGAGTTTTTTTTTATACCTGTGCTCAACTAACAAGCCATTAATTGATAAATCAGTCTTTTCATTTAACTCCGTGGCTCTATAAATGTATATTTTTGGAAATGCACCCAAGAGTAATAAATGTAAGAGGGCAAGACACCAGTGAACTGAAAGGTCAAAGCAATTTCCGTAACTTTAGTTCCTCAGACAATCACGCTACCTAACAGCAGCCCCTTGGCCTTTGACAAGCAGCGTTTATTAACATTCATCCTATGGAATAAGGGGGAAGGCTCACCCAGGCTCACCCTGCACACAGCCGAATGGGCTGCACACGGGAGCCCTCTCGGGGTCCCTTCCACGATGCGTGTTTATAGTCTCGTGGCAATTGTATATCTTCCTCTGATGTCTCCCAGAACCATGTGGCATTCAAAACCTCTTAAGAAGACCTTGTACATCAATGTGCACCACACATTGTGAATGGGTCAGGCTTTCCGAGAAGCTGAGTCACATGCCAGGGAACGTAAGCTAACAGGCTCAGAGGCTCCAGCTTGTGAATTAGGCCTTGCAAGTGTATCATGTTCTATTCTTGGACTCCGGCAAAGGAAATGTCCAAGAGCAAGACAGCGCAGAGGCTTCCAGACACTGGTGGGGGGCTGGCAAGGCAGCCATTACAGAAAGGCAGGAAGTACTCATACGGGACAAAGAGGATGACCGTGGATGAGGGCTGGCTGCTAGGTGGAAGGTCAGGGAACCCTCCTTCGACAGCTAGACTGTAACCTAGGCTAACTTCAACCACTGGGGGAAGCAGGTCGGTTGGTCTATTATTCTTGGTGGTATAACACAAAGCTAGTTGGTGAAGTTTATTAAAAACAAACACAGGATACAAAAGAAAGTAATGGGAGAAGGTTATGCCACAGAAACCCAGACAACCGAAGTCCTGCTCCCTTACAGCGCGTGTCCAGAGCAGCTCATATGGGCTCCTGGTCAGGGTACCAACGGGCCACGAGCAAGGCTGATTTAAAGGCCAAAATTTGGGCTGAAATGTAACATTTGCTTACAGGTTAATCTCTGATCCACGGAAGGGCTCCATTTTCCATGCATTGCTGACTTTGGACCATTAATTGAGGCGAAGCAGAATGCTTGCTGGCTTATGCGGAAGGTTTTTTGTTTTTATTTTTCCCTTGTATAATTTACAAGCTAACAGGGCCTATTTTTCAGTACAGTGTACTAAGGATTTTACATACTCAGCTTCCATTAACAATAAAGAGAGTGTTGAAAATCTAACCCGCCTTGCCTTTTCAGTACCACTGAGTTTGTTTAGTTAAGTGCTTCATGTTACTATTGGCTATTTACCAGTTGTCAATTACTCACATAAATTAGGAAGAACAAGCTGGAACTTATGTTAAAAAAAAAAATCATATACTAAAGCCACAGAAAATGGGACTTTCAATTTCGGTAATTAATTTTCCCAATTTACTCTTTAGATTTCTGGAGAAATGTCTACCATCTACTTTTGGGTGCAGCTGCCACAGTTACCTTGCTAGCTGGCTGAAAACGTAAACATTAATCCTGCTTGTATTATACAGAAAAACATCCTCCTCCTCTGTTGACACATGCTGTGTCTACAGGCATTTGTCTGACTGTGGGCAGCCAACCATCTCCACACCCAGTCTAGAGACCAAAACCAAAGTGGGTCTTTGTGCCAAGATATCCCTGGGTGAAGAAACTTAAAAACACATCCTGTTCCCTTTTGTCTGCCCTGAAAGCAGAATTCAAGTATTCTCAACGGGTGGACTAGACGCCCAGGGATTCCCCTGGCACCTCTGCAATTCAGGAATACTATGTCTTCCCAGGAAGATCCTGACTGTAGTATGCGTATGTCAAAATGCGAACAATTCAGATGGCTGGCTGAATAGCCCAGAGCTCATCATTTATATTTTAATTATGTTCATAAATCAAATGTTATATAACCCACCAAACCTTTCCTGAGACAGACCCAGACTCCAAGATTTATTTTTAAGTAATGAGGTAAGCCCAGTACATTTTCTCGGTGATCATTTGATGCCTCGGCTGGTGTTGTAAGGCACAAGGCGAAAAGCCAGATGACGCTTTCTGCCCAAGTGCAGTAACTGTCGAGAAATGATCGCTCAGAATGGCTTAATGTCATTATCAAATGGAACTGCTACATAAAAATAAGAGGAAGAGTTAGGTCTGCCCACTCAGGGAACACTACAGTCACAGAGAACGCACCACCGACAGCCAGTCAATGAGGTTGTGGGCTCTGACACTCACGATACATGGTAGTGTTTTTAAAACCCCGTAAAAGACATGCAGCAAAACTGCTATACAGACAAAATTCGTTCATTAGTCAGAGTCGCAGAGGGTTAATACTAGGAGGCTTTAGGTCACGCTCCAGCAGCACCCACTTAGAAAGTAGTATGAGAATGACATTCTGATCTGATGAGACTTTAAATGTGCTCTGCTCTATAAACGGAAAAAAAATATATAAAAGGAAACTCCTGAAGAGGTTACAGTGGCTTGCTGGCAGATTACAATTGGTTTCATGCCAGTTTGACCTTGCACCACATTCTATGATCTTTTCAGAAGATGAACTCGAGACTCTGTAACCTGTATTTCACTTTCCCATGTAAATGAAAAGCCACAGTTCTCTTCTCTCTAGATCACAACACTAACACATCAGGTCTTCACATGTTTTATTTCAGGAAAGGTATGTTGCCATTTCCTTGTGCCTGGAATGCCATCCTTCCTGTGTGCCAGACAAGAGTGGAGCTGTGCTAAGGGCAAGTGTCCCTGACACCCCAGGAGGAGACCAATCACCCTGGGTGATCCTGACACTTGCCCGCTCTGGAAGTCCTTAATCAGGGCAGTGGGCAGCAAAAGTTCCTTGAAGTGCTGACTGCAAGCAGGCCCTTGGCATGGAGTGCAAATCTTCTCCTGCAACTGCATTTGGGACACAGGCAAATTCATGTCCCTTTCTAGATCTTATCCACTGTTTACCCAGCATTTTATCCAATATTCTGTAACACTGGTTGCAGTGGGGCTGGGTGCCTGTACAGCAGGTGCTAATGGTTTCAGGGACAACTCAAAAGCAGCATGAGCCTGGAGGGCTCGGAGCAGCGGGGAGGGGGCCCAGGCCAGCACCTGTGCATCCAGGTGGGGAAGCTCTGACTGAAGCGAGTGCCAATCCTGGAGGATTTCTGTGTTTGAGGAGCGCAACCATGCAAAGATTAACCTGAGATTTGGTGAGTAGTAGGGGCTGTTTGAGCTCAAAACAAGATCAACTCCTACAACATGGCTGTCTAAGTGGTCGGGAGAGGCCGGCTTCGGGAGGGTGATGTTCAGTAACACAAGGGATGGGACTGGCTGGAGATCAGTCACTCCGAGTTCTCAGAGAAGTTGAAGAGAACATCTTGCAAAAGTCTGCTGTCAACTGTCATACTACATTCATGCATCATCTTTGCTGCCATTTATGTTGTCTGCTCACAAGGTGAAGGACCTCCTGCTGTTACATCTGTTGTATGAATCGAAGCACATCAACTGCGTTTCTTGAGGGGGCTGAGCTATTATGAGTGGGATGAGTCAAACCTGGTGGGCCTGATGTGGGACCCAAGAGCACGTGCCACATTCCCAAAGCACAGTGCAATTTCCTCTGTTGCAACTTGCAAGTAGTTATGTGGATATTGAAATTACTGTTTACTCAATAGAAATCAATTTTTATCCTGTGATGTTGAAGCAGGGAGGTTATGTTTCTAGTGTTTTTTAAATGGACTGCACCCTCGCACAGCACTTTTCTGTATTTTTAAGAAAACTTCAAAATTTGAAAATAGACACTGGGCAAGAAAATCCATATAAGATTTTCTGCACAAGAATGTTAGCTCTGTAATAAGAATATTTTTTTGTAACCCTGGTACCTAGAATAGTGCCAAGGTGCCTGGCATGCAGTAGGCATTTGATCCATATTTACCAAATGAATGAGAAAGTGGAGAAATATTGGGGCATGGGCTTCCACTCCAAGCTTTGCTTCCGATTAA